AGTTACACGTGGTGGCCGGGGATGGACAGACAGATTGAAACCTGGGTCGCCGCATGCAACAGTTGTCAACAAACACGATCCACACACACACACCCACAGCACCACCCCTGGAATGGGAAACACCCAGAGGCCCCTGGTCGCGAATCCACCTTGATTTTGCTGGCCCCACTCATGGACACACTTTTCTGATAACCGTTGATGCCTATTCCAATTGGCTGGAAGTTTGCACCATGAAAAAGACAACCACTGAGGCCGTCATCGCTAAACTCAACAAACTTTTTGCCACACATGGGTTGCCTGATGTAATAGTGTCCGCCAATGGGCCGCAGTTCACTGCATTGGCATTTGAACAATACCTAGCTGCCCGAGGCATCAGACATGCACTGACATCGCCCGCTCACCCGGCGGCGAATGGGCGAGTGGAACGGAAAAAACCATACAAAAAATTGAGGACGGCAATATCCAGGAAAAAATCAATAAAATGCTGCTGATACAACATATCACGCCTAACTCAACCACCAACAAATGCCGAGCAGAACTGCTCATGGGCAGAAAGCTCCGCTCTCCCCTAGACCATTTGCATCCCACCTATAATCCGGAGAAACCCCCAGGCTCCACTAGCCGACATCGCTCATTCAACATCGGCGACACCGTCTTCGCGAAAACCTTCACCGGGGACCCTCTCTGGGTACCTGCACGCATCACCCAAATAACCGGCCCCCGGTCCTACCGCCTAGAAACAACTGATGGGCGAAGCTGGAAGCGCCACATTGACCAGCTACGGTCAAGGCTAGCCAGTCCAGACTTTAATAAAGAAATCAGAGGGGGGGGAAACCCCAAACATCGAAAACGGAAAAAACTCAACGCAGGCAGAACACCCCCCAGACAGAAACCATAAAATAAACCAACCATACTCACCTGAAAACTCGGAACCGTTGCAGATGGGTGCTTCACCTGAAAGGAATGGCCGGACAAGCTCGACCAGCCCAGAAAATCCAGGTGGGAGCAGCGAAGCGCACAACTCGACCAACCCGGGCGAACCAGGTGGGAGTCGCAGCTATAGGCCCGGCTCACCCCTCCAAGCGGTTCCATCAGTAGAGTTGAGAGCAACGCGGAGCCCGTCCAAACTGACCGACGACCAGAGACTAAATGAAGCGCTCAAGTCAAGTAGGCAGGTACGAAGACCCGCCTACCTACGTGACTATGTCATCCCGCCCCTTGGACGATACCAAGAGGGGAGGGGTGTTCCATATCCATAGACTTGAAACCCCGCATTCCCATTGGTCCGTTTAACCGCTACCTGATTGGACAGCTTGGACAGTTTTGATTGGCTCGCTAAGAGTCTGCCGCGATTGGCTAAAACCAAGCGCAGCAGATTTGAAGCGGTGTCATTGGCCGCTTAGCCGTGGCCAGCTCTATAAAAGAGCCGCCGCGGCTACTGTTCTTTTGAGTGTTGTCTAGCCGATAAATAAAGAGCTGTTGTTACTGAGCCGAAGTCTCTCGTCTTAATGAACCCGACCTTCCGAATGTAACACTTACAATGGCTTGTTTCACAAGCCCTGCTTTCAAGAATCCTGATTGAGCATTATATGGCAACCTGGAAGTGGGGAAGCAAAGCCAAAGAAGTTTTTGCAGAGATTTGTTGGGGGTAGGGGTGGAGGAGTAGAAGAGCATTACTGAACGGTTAAAGCAACATTTGGCATGGTGGGCAACCTAAATTCAGATCTTGGAACCAGTCAATCCTAGAAGATCCCCACTTGAGAATGGCTGCTGCCATTCTATTTGACAAAGTTGAGTTAGAAGGATTAATGTTTTGCTTCAGGACAAGGAGAAGCTTATTAGGTGCCATTGTACAAGATGAAAGACAATGAAGGCCAACTACCACTTGAAAATTTAGTCTCCTCCTGGTACCGGTAGTAGCTTTTTTCCTTAGTAAATCAGGGGAAAGGATTGCCTTTAGCTCATCTCAGATACATTCAGGGTTTTTTTTTATTGGAAGAGGCCTTTTTTCAAGGGGAGACATACAAGGGTACAAGTTATTGCCTGCAGTCTGAAATGATACACCACAGCCTAAGATCTTCTTCCTGATTATAATATACAGTTTGGTCCTTAGAAACAGAATGTTATGCACTTAAGAGCTATTAAAATTAGTTCCAAAGGCAACTGTTAGGCCTTCCTATGATTATCTCTCTTTTTTTGGCCTCTTTTTTAGCTTGAGCATTACATACTAGCTTTCTCTTAATTATTGTAAAATTACATGATAACTAAGCTTTTCCGAAATATCAGATGAGCAAAAATGTCAGGGGAATTATTCACGGGAACATTTATATATACAGATGCCCAGGCATGGAATGGGTTGAATTTCCTTAAATATTCTTCACTGGGGGCAGGCGGGTGAAGAGGGGTGACCCTTCTATTGGTCTTGTGAAGGCTTGTCGTTTGAAAAAAGTATGTGTGAACCAGAGAAAATACTTTCTTTTTATGGCTAGGTTGAAAGTTTTCCAGTAGAGGATCCACCTTATAATTCTTATATGTAAAGGTGACTGCAGTCTTCTTTTGACATATATTCTAAAGCCTGGTGTCAGCTTTGAAAGCCATATTAACACCAGAAGCTTCCACGCTGCCAAATTCCTGTGCCTGGGAAATTGGGAGGGGGGATTTTGTAGAGCGTTCTTTCTATCAGTCAAGGTCATGTCTTTCCTGCACCTGGAGGAGGACTGGTTAAGGGATGTCTCAAGTTGGGGCGGATGGTGATTGGACCATGTGATGGACTGATGGGTGCAGGGGATGGGTTTGTGATTTTGAATTACTGAGGGAAAACACGGAACTCTCAGATTCGGATTTTCCCAGATGTGCCAGTATGACAACTCTAATAAAATGGAACTTTGAGGAAATGCCTATCTCAGAGTTTTGGTGTTGGAGTTTGTTTTTCTGGAACCCTGACACCTGGGTTCAAATACTTTTATTAGCTTATCAAAATATAAAATACAGAAATACAAAGGAAAATGACCATAATGGGAAAATAGGGAGAAAAGGGGGAAGAGTAGGGTAAAGGGGGGGTGGAGAAAAATATTTTTCTTAATCAAAAAGTCAATTTAACCATCTCTGCTAACTTCATCAACTTTTGCAGCCATTCATCCATTGTGGGAATTAAAGTACACTTCCATTTTTATGCATATTCTTGCTGCTGTCACCACATATCACATCAAAGTTCCATTCCCCCCCACCCCAAGTTCTTGGATTATGGTACCTATGGATGCTAACATGTGTGCTAATTCCTCCCTGGCATTTCCCAGGAACATGTACTACTGATTTTTTTTCCTCATTGTTTTCATTTCCTAACTTTAGATGTTGTAAATTATCATGGTCAAGTGTTATGTTTATTTCTAAGAATGACTCTGAGGCCACAAAAACCCCAGGCATTCCAAGAAAATAATAATGTTGGTGACTAAAGTTGTTTCACCCAGTACCCAGAGAAAAAGTAATGGTTAGCTGTGATATTAGACAGCATCGTGGGTGGTGACATGAAAAACATCCGCATATTACCTTCTGATAACTATGACTGATCATGCCCTCCATAGTAGCCAGTTTGTGGAAGGGCCCATGCCACATACTTTGAATTCTCAATATTTCCACTGGTTGAAAATTGAATGGAGGCTCCTGGTCTAAGATGCTATTTACCTACATGGGTGTTCTTAGAAAGAGCTAGAGATATCTTCATAGTCCAATTCCTCTATTGTCTCTCAGTGAATATAGCCCAAACTACCTTGGAGGTTTTTAGGTGGCAATAAGACTCCCTGTACATGCTTAGAGATCTACCACATTCAGAGAACCACTGGAGCTGCAACAGATCTGGGGCAAATTCCAGCAAAAATGTAGCTTCCAAACTGAACATCTTCCAGAAGTGATGGACTAAGGTAAAATCCAAAACTCTAGAAGGATGAGGAGTGGAGGGGGGGAAAAAACCATACAAGTCCTTTCAGGACTTTTACTATGTTGGTCAGTGTCTACTCAGTCATTCGTGTGGTTGCAGAAAATTATTTACTGTACTGATCCAGGGATTGAGTTTTTGCTTTTGGCATAAGGAGGTAAATTTCTACATTCCACACATACACAGTTTTCTTTGTTCTTGTGGTTCTCATCTTACTTTTGATCATAAACATTCTACAGTGGAGGGAACATTCTAGCAATGATTTTCTTGGATTAGGGTCTATGGGAGTGAAAATATAAGCTTTCCTCTAATCCAGGAAAACGTATGCCACATTAAAAAGTTTCCCTTACATGAACTCTTAAACAACTTCTTTCATCCTGCTAGTCATTCTATAACTCCGAATTTTTAGAAAGACTCCAGTCTATTGCCTTCCTTTGGATCACTGCTCACCTCAGAACTCAAGCCATTAAGCCATTGTTCTTCTGAACATGTGCAGAGTGCTCTTTCTTTCACCCCACAGGAGCTGCCGTCAGCTCTTCTGCACCTTGTTGCCAGAACAGAAGCTTACCGTGGCCCCTTCTCTAATTTTGATCCAAATAACAAATGGATCATAACACCCTAGGAGAACGGTACAGCTCTGCCATACAAAAGGACTTCAGCCTGGCTGGGTGAAGCCGTCCAACGTAATTCACAGAAAGTGCAGAGCACAGTGCTCTTCCTCTGGGAACACCTGTGCAGCATGGAGATTATTTCTAAGAATGCATAATGTGGACTGTGATACATAGAAGCTCCATTCATTTAGCTTCAGATACTCTGCTCTGCAGGCCAAAACATCTTGCCCCTGAAACATCTCTCCATCCATGCTTCCGGTCGGGCTCTCTGCAAGCGCTCTCCCAGCCTCCATCATCAAACCAGAGGATGCTCACAAAGGATCTCTGCCGCCCAGCCTCTCACGGTCCCTCCCAGGTCCCCGACAGCTCAGAGGGATCTCCTCCAGACAACCGTCCTTCCTTCCTTCCTTCCTTCCTTCCTTCCCTCCCTCCCTCTTTTTCTCTTTTCTCCCTCTCACCGTGGCGTCTTGTCCAGCATAATGGCTGATCACGCGGGAGCCCCCCGGATGCCTTTTGTGGAACTGGCTGATGTCGTAGACCTTCCTGTCTATCACCAGCCACCGCTCGGGCGCCCGGCTCGAGTAAGACTTGATTTCGTCCCAGCTGAAGAACCGCGGAGGGGGATCCATCCCAGCAATATCAGCCTCAAGGGACCGAGAGTTGCTCTCTCTTGCAGCCAGCGGCCCGTGGGGACTGAGCGCCGTCCCCTACCGAACGACCAGCCTGGGCCAGCCTCCAAGCCCGCCCCTCGGAGATCCGATTGCACGGCGAATTTCCTCGGCCTTCGCACGGGAAAGGTCGCCGGATTTTGTCCCTGGAAGGAATCCTTCGCGGTAGCCGGGTAACCGCTCTGGGGGCTGGTTGCTTTTGATGGAACTACGCCGTGCCTTTTCTTTTCCTTGCCTCAGCGCTTCCTTTCTCGTGAGAATACCGTAATATCCTTTTTTAAAAAAAGTCAAAATTCTGGACGCCTCCCCACATTCCCAACAGGTTCTGACTGCATCTCAAACGACCCATCTGTTAAAATATTGAAGTTTGCTGATGACACAGCAGTGATTGGTCTCATTCGAGACAACGACGAATCCGCATTTAAACAGGAGGTGGTACATCTTGCCTCGTGGTGTAACCGGAATAATCTGGAACTGAACACACCCAAAACCATAGAAATGGTGGTAGACTTTAGAAGAAACCCTCCCACACCACCACCTCTTACAATACTAGACAACATAGTATCAACAGTACAGACCTTCAAATTTCTAGGTTCTATTATATCACAATGCCTAAAATGGACACCTAACATCAAAAACATCATCAAAAAAGCATGACAAAGAATGTTCTTTCTGCGCCAACTCAGAAAGCTCAAACTGCCCAAGGAGCTGCTGATTCAGTTCTACAGAGGAATCATTGAGTCTGTCATCTGCACCTCTATAGCGGTCTAGTTTGGCTCTGCAACCCAACAGGACAGACACAGATTTCAGAGAGTAATTAGGCCTGCAGAAAAAACCATTACTACCAATCTGCCTTCCATTGAGGACCTGTATACTGCACAGAGTCAAAAAAAAAAGGGCTGTGAAAATATTTACAGACCCTTCACATCCTGGACATAAACTGTTTCAACTCCTTCCCTCAAAACGACACTATAGAGCACTGCACACCAAAACAACTAGACACAAGAACAGTTTTCCCCCCCCGAATGCCATAACTCTGCCAAACAAATAATTCCCTCAACACTGTCCAACTACAGTATTTACAAAGTCTGCACTACTATTACTATTAATCTACTCATCACTCCTTATCACCCATCCCCTCCCACTTGTGACTGTATGACTGTAACTTTGTCGCTTGTATCCTTATGATTTATATTGCCTGTTTCCTAGTATGATTTGTACGTTATGATTCTTTACTCTTGACGAATGTATCTTTTCTTTTATGTATACTGAGAGTATTTGCACCAAGACAAATTCCTTGTGTGTCCAATCACACTTGGCCAATAAAGAATTCTATTCTATTTTCCTTTTAGGAAGTGCCTTGCCTTCCATTTGATGCTTTTGTTTTGGAGGAAGAAAGTTGGCACACTCTTCCAAATTTAAGGCATTTTCTCTACCTGGTGCCTTTCAGTTCTGTTGCATAACCCCTCCTATCATTCCCCACCAGACAAGACCATTGATTGATGGTGCTTCTTCCTGTCTTTCCCAAATCCCTATTTGACAGTATATATAGAGCATCTGTGAGGCCACTGTAAGACAACTAATTAGCCCCTATCACCCTTACTAAATCTGCTCATGGAAACCAAGGCACTTCCAAGAGGGAATTAATATGTATTATTAATGCAGAGTATGTGATCATTCTTGCGGGCTTCCATTTCATTTTAGGGTATTGGGAGCTGTATTCTGTATATTGTTATATTATTATATATTACATTGTGTATTATGTACTTATACAAAATACATTGTGTTATGTATAATGTACACAATACACAATGTACATGTGCATTGTGTACATTGTTGTACATAAGAATGTATAGTGATACCTGAGGCAATCCTATTCTCAAAACCACACATGTTGAAGTCAATCACGCTGAAATCTACCCAAATTTCCCCATAGATCCCTGGGCCTCTATGGAATCGTTCCATTGGAATTATGCAGTGTGTGAAACAAAGAGATCCTGATTTGTTATTGTCTGACAGTTCTCACTCACATCCATATACACTCTTGATCTGAATGGACTCTTTTGTGGTGATGTTCAAACAGTAACAACACATGACATTTGTTCTCCTCAGAGGGATCTCTATTGACTTCCAGTAAAAAAAAAATAGATCTTTGAAATAAATACCATTCTCCAGTTGACAAGATGATGTCGTGCCTATGGTACAAAGATTTGAGTGGGAGAGTCACTGCCAAATGGACAGCATCCAGCATTCTTCCCTGTACAGTTACAATGAACTTGGTTCAAAGTAGAGAGTGTGGTTTCCACTTGTTAAAAAGGCTTTGGTTTTTTTCCCCCCTTTAAATTATGAGCACCACAGACATACACACCCATCATGTTGTTTATTTTCTGGGTAAACAACAGTAAGTACATAAAGCACAGAAAAGGGAACATAAGCAGGTGGGAACAACTATTTGAACCAATGGCTGGAACAAGAAATGGCAAGTCTGTATTTATGCCTAGACAATCACAGACCACTTGATACTAATTAAGAAAGCCTGCATGCAGAAAGCAAAATCAAGATTCAAACTTGCTTTGGGATTTTAATAAAGAAAAAGTAAAGGAGTTGCAGGGCTTGGGGGCGGAGTCAAAAGAGGAATCAAACTCTACGTTCCCACAAGTGGTCTAAGTCCAACTCCTCTTGAATTCCATTAACCCTTATCTAGCACCAAAATAATGCTGACCGTTAGTTGACTAGATTCTTGTGCCTAGGCATGAGCAATAAATCAGTTTAATTGGAACTTAATGTATTGGAATAACAGAGTTGGAAGGGACCTTGGAGATCTTCTAGTCCAACCCCCTGCTCAAGCAGGAAATCCTATACTATTTCAGACAAATGGTTGTCCAACCTCTTGTTAAACTTCCAGTGTTGGAGCATTCATAACTTCTGGAGGAAAACTGTTCCACCGATTGTTCTAACTGGCAGGAAATTTCTCCTTAGTTCTTGGTATGACTCTGGTCTTTTGAGCCTGATATTACAATCTAAATTGGTAATCCAGATTCACTTTTAAAATATAGGAACCCCTCCCCCCAAAAAGATGGTGGATAGCTCAAATATCACATTAAAGCCATTGGGAAGATAGCTTTGGAAAAAGAAGATAAGTTAAAGAAGAACGTACAAATGATTGTGTGAATGTTACACAGTACATTTTGAATGAGTGAATTATGCAAAGTTTGTTTGGAGCAATTCCATGCCAAACTATTGTTATGGTGCAAACCTTATGAACTATTTTGAACTATCTTAACTCTCTGCCAAGATACAAACACCCCAGAGAAAGAGCAAGACTCCCATATCTTTATAAGGAACAAGAATTTCCACATCAACACCTCGAAACCCAGGAGGTTTTGCCTATGCAAAATGTACATGAAGAGCTGCCAAAATTAAAAAGGGCAGGGATTTATTTATTTTACCCTGCCTGAGGATACAGCAAGAACCACAGTATGTAAGCTTTACAGAGCAATTCAAAATTTTAAAAAAATGGATAAATTCCTGAATTGGAGAATTACAGGTAGTTCTTAACTTACAACAGTTCATTTAGTGATCAAAGTTACAACGGCATGAAGAAAAGGGACTTACAACCATTTTTCACACTTACAACCGTTGCAACATTCCCATGGTCTCATGATCAAAATTTGGATGCTTGGCAACTGGTTCATATTGATGATGGTTGCAGTGTCTTGAGGTTATGTGGTCACCTTTTGCAAGCTTCTGACAAGCAAAGTCAATAGGGAAGCCAGATTCACTTAACAACTTGACAGCTGCAATGAGTCACTTAACAACTGGGGCAAGAAAAGTGGTGAGATGAGGCAAAACTCACTTTAGAAATGCCTTACTTAGCAACAGAAATGTTGGGCTCAATTGTGGTTGTAAGTTGAGGACTACCTGTATTAAGGGCAGTCTGCCTCCTGGAGTTGTGGGGGCTCCACCGTTGGAAGTTTTCAAGCCAAGGCTGGTTAGCTATTGGTCTAGACAGGGGTGTCAAACTGGATTTCATTAAGGGCCACATCAGGGTTGTGTCTGACCTTGGGGGGCTGGGATGGGTGTGACCAGGATGGGTCTGGCCAGCATGACATCACCAGTGTCAGGGGCGCTTGTGGTGGCCAAGCGCTCTGCCAGCGAAAACGGGCTCCTGAGCTCCATTTTCAGTTGTGATGACCTCCTGCAACTCTCTGCCAGCAAAAATGGAGCTTGGGTGGAATTCGCAAGTTCCATTTTTGCTGGCAGAGGCACCATGAGCCAGTCCTTTGCTATTTCCAGGATGGCCTCAAGGGCCAGATCTAAGCACCCCATGGGCCGGATGTGGCCCCCGGGCCTTGAGTTTGACACCCCTGGTCTAGGACAAAGGTCTTCAAGCTTGGCAAGTTTAAGACTTGTGGACTTCAACTCCCAGAATTCCCGAGCTAACATGACTGGAGGAGGAATTCTGGGAGTTGAAGTCCACAAGTCTTAAAGCTGTCAAGTTTGAAGACCCTGGTCTAGGGACAATCTGAGAAGTCCTTCCATGGGAAAGAGGTTGGACTAGAAGACCTCCAAGGTTCCTTCCAACCCAATGATTCTGTGCTTCTATGTCTATAAATAGAAGTCTAATTTCTATTTAAATTTCATTTCAGTTTCCTGGAAAGATTATTGCACCAAGCAATGCAGGACAGCCTTTCTCTTCCACCTTGTAACTAAAAATATATAAAAACACCAGCCTCCACATGAGAATGTCTATAATAATCTCTTCTTTAAGCTAATTTCTAAAGGGAATCCTCTTTTAACAAAATTAGCACCACGTTTGACTATTTTAATTCTTCCAAATAAAGGAAATGATATGTTAAATTATATAGATAACTCTGAATTTCTGCAGGAGACTTGAGCTGCAGGGGATTCTCTGTATATTTAAAAAAAAAAAAAACAGCAAACCTGCCAGCATCTATTTTCCTCATTCCTTTATCTTTTTGTTTCTTTTCTGCCATATACTTTTTCCTTCTTTTTCCTATTTGTAATTCTCATCTTATTTCTCCCCCACACCACCCTCTCAGTTTCCACCTCTCCCCTTCTTTCCAAGACACAGAGCACTTCTTTAATCAGAGCAACTCTAGTTTGCACTGATTTCCCAAGCTGTTGCTACAATGTGTAACCTTTTGCCTAATTGGCCACTGGCACCATGCTTCAAAGAAAATAGGGTGAATTAATTGATATTCTTTTCTGTGGCCAAAGTTGAATGCCCCACAGAAAGATGTTATTTGGGATGCAACCAAAGCTGAAACTCAGCTAAATGAGGTGAACTAGTCTTCTGCATAATAATGTTCACAGCCTAAGGATACCTTTAAGCAATGGGAGGCTAGAGAAGTCACAGAGTGCTGGAGTATCTGCTCTTGGTACAATCTGACAACCTTTGTGTGCTTCATGGCTAAATTCAATATAGCTATTCTGGCATCCAATCTAGATGTTATTTTCAAGTTGGAAATCCTCCTCCTCCTAAATCTGGTGGCAGTGTTAACCAGAGTAAGGGTACATAACTTGCCTTTCCATCATGAATTATTGCTTGAATCCCTGATTCCCAGGCTCAGATTTTTTCCCCCAACCCCTAAGAGTGTCGAAACTATAACTGCCAGCATTCCCAGCTAGGCTGGCCAACTCAGGGAGCTGTGGTCGTTAACAGAAAGGCAATAAGTTGGAGAAAGGTTTTCAGATGTTTACAGTATTTTGAATTGGAAGATTAGCTGAGCTCAACCATGCAGTTGTGGGTTGGGTATAATTTGGTATATGTGACCTAGCTCTTTAAGAGAGAAGTTTGCAATGCAGTTTTTCCCCCCTTCACATTTTCCACATTTCTGTTAGTCCCCACTAAGCATTTGAAAGTATGATGTACCACAAACAAGCAAAGAGAAATGTGTGTGGTACCACAAAAAAATATTTGTGCCTCTCTAAGTCTTAGGTGAAGTTCCAGGAACTACAAGAAAATTGGCTGTTAAATGATAAATTTGAATCTTATAAGAAGTCAATGTTAAATATTTAAAGTGTAATCCTATATAAATGAATGAGATTAATTTGAATGCAGTTTGAAGAATGTGATAGTATATAATGAAATATATTATAAATAGTAATAATAGCAGTAATTGTTAAGTAATTCTTTTGCCACACTGTTATAAATTAATAACAACAGTGTGGCAAAAGAAAGTAAAGATAGTATCAAAAGTAATAGGCACCTTGAGTGCAATTCCAAAACACCTGGAGCAACATTTGAGCACTGTTGGCATTGACAAAATCATTATCAATCAATTGCAGAAGGCAGCTTTGCCTGGAACAGCTTCAATCCTGTGACAACATCAAACAACATCTGCCTATCATTGGTCCTTGGGAAGGACTTGATAGGTGGACAAAAAGGCCAAATCTGGTCTGGACACTGGCTGTATTATGAACCATGATAATAATAATACTCTTTATTATTGAAGAGCCAAACTTTTCAACATAAAACTTCCATTTAGTTTTTATCTTCACTCTGCTCATTTATTGGGAATGTGGTCCAGACATATCCTTTGGCTTGAAAAGTTGCTGGTCTGCTGGTATTCTGGTGTGTGCTCTGAACTATGCCTCATGGGAGAAAGGTAATCCCTTTCTCCCGTGAGGCATAGTTGAGATGCTGGGAACATATCTGAAACTGGCCAGATTGGCCAACTAGATGTGCAGAAACTGGCCTATGAACTGTCTCTGCCAACATTAAGGGAGAAGCCTCTTCTCCAGCACTAATCAGGATTTTCTTGGCAGGCTAGCTCTACAGAAGAAAGCTTTCAGAGCTCCAGAGGAAAACAAGGTCAAGCAACATTGGTAGTAAAGCAAAAATAATTGCTTTATTTCATGGAGCAGGTTTGACAGACTGTTCTGTTTAAACTTTCACCCAAGTGAAGTGACTTTTCAAACACTTTGTGCCACATCCCATTGTCATCCTATAAGCAGAATCCTCTCCACAGATCTAAACAGGAACATGGTGTACATTGTTTGAAGAGGAATCTTTTTTTTAATGTTAGAAGCCCCAGCAAATAAAAGCCTATATTAATAAGGGGGGCGGGGAGAGAATGATGTTTAGTCTACTATCAGGAAAAAAGGGATTCATCTTTGTTGTTGTTATTATTATGGTTCATTGTACAATCAGCCAGATGGTCAGACTGGATCTGGCATTTTTGTCTGCCTACTGAGTCCTTCCCAAGGACCTGAGAGAGGCACATGTGGATGTTTAATGTTGTTACAGATACGATTGAAGGATGTAAGCTGTTCCAAGTAAACCTGCCTTTTGAAATTGACTGATGGTGATTTTGTTAATGCCAATAGTGTCCAATGGTGCTCCAATTGTTCAATTATGATTATAATGATTTAATATTATTGTATACAGAAGCATAGTTTATTTTAGTAATAAAGGTGATGCCAAAATTGCCCTTTTATTACACAACATGAGAATTATATGGAAATCAATTGGCATTCTGGTAACGGGAGAAGGAAGAGGAACTAAAGTTACCTAAACAGCAAATATCTTTAGACCTGTTCATACAAGGAATAACAATTGTTTAAATATTTCTTTCATTCTCTAGGTTCTAGGTGGCATGCACAAAGTTCCTGACTGTCTTTCTCCAGACTCTTTATCCATTCCAAATCTCTTAAGCTTCACAAAGTGCCTCAGATTATATTGTACACCTAAAACTGGCTGCATAATGCATATAATAATTGTTTATAATTTGCAAAAGAGAAACAAAACAGATACAGAAAATAGCTGAGCATGACCTTCAAGAATATTTGTATATTATTTTACTAAAACTGGGGATCTCTCTCTCTCTTTCTGACACCTGTGCATAGAAGAATTAAAGCTGATTATGGACAAGTATATTTTCTATGGGTACTTGTATATTTGAATGGGAAACAAAGATTGCATTATATTGGGGAAAATAAATAGAATATTTAGGAGTAGGAGAGGGTGAATCAGTTTCTTTGGCTCAGAATCAGTTGAACCTGTTTCTCCAGTTATAAAAGATACACTTCAGAACAAGCAAATATAAGAATAAATTGTTGAAGCACTGAGCTATGATGAAGTAGTCCTACATTCAAGTAGGACTTGAATGTAGGACTCCACTATGGAAAATCACTGAATGGTTTGGGGCTAGTCACTTTCTTTCAGCTCAGTCTGCCATACAACATGATAATTATGGGGAGAAAATTGAGATTTGCTCATATGAGCCACTTTGAGTTGGTGGAGAAAGCTTTCTATCCAGTCATCTATTCAGGCTGTGGGTTCTCTATGATGTTGAATTACAACTTCCAGACATCCACTGTGAGTGAAAGCCAGAGATTCTGGGATATAAGAATTCAGCAAAAGCGGAAGGGTTGCTGGTTCCCACCCCACTCCCCACCCGTCCACACACACTTGTCTTGCAAACAAGCTAAAGTGCAGCTTTGGAACACTCACTCATGGTTATACAGACTTTGTTCCGATCGCCATTGCCATTGTGACTACAGATGTTCAGGGATGGGTCTCAGATGGCAGCTGCCCTCTTCTATGTTCCAAATACCAGAAACCAGATGTTACAGAGGTTGTAGAAGCTGTTTACAACCAGCTTTATGGATGACATGCAGCTCAAAGGTCATGAAATGGCTGCACTACCAGAATAAAAATCCTGGCCAAGGGATACCCAATTTTCTTACTACAGCTATCTCTGCTGTTCTGGGAATGGATGGCCAGCCTGCCTGCCTGCCTATTATTTGTCTCAAATTATATATCAAAAGGCTAATTATACAAACAAGCTAATTAAAGTTTGAGTCAGTTAGCTAAAAGGGTGATAGCTGGAACTGGCAGGGAAAGTATATTAGAAGATGTCTGCATCCCAGCATTGCAAAACAGCCTAAATGAATAGCTGATGACCATCTTCTATCATTGGGAAATGTTGGTTATCTCACATCCACCCCACCCCACAATCCCATCTTCACTTCTTCCTTATCAAGAAACAGAACCATCCTTCCCTCCCAAGATTCAGGTGATGGAGTCTTAGATAAGAAACTGATGCCATTGAGTGATGCTTTGTTTTTAGGCGAAGAAATCATTTTAAAAAAGCATCCTGTGACATTTGGACAGCTGGCCCCTGTGCAGAATACAAGGAGCTAAGAATTGAAAAATGCCACCAGGGACACTGTGCTTCTTACTCCAGCTTTGCATCGTTTGGGTAACAGCAAAATGAGAATCTCTACCATGAAAGCCTGCTGACTAATTTGGGATCATCAGCCATTTAAAATAGGATCCGCCAACATTTTGTGATTAATTCATACTTATAGTCTCTAAAGCTCCTTCACAAACAAGGAAGGCGACCGGGTGAGACTTTTGAGTAAAATGGCATTTGGGGGGAGTATTCGGCCCATCCAAAAATCCGATGGAGGTACGAAGCTCTCTCCTGGCCGCGAAGCTGCCGTTTTGGGGGGCTCCTCTGTCATTCACTTAAGCATTCCGAGGAGATGGCTCAGTAATCGTAGAAATGAAATGAAATCTCCGTTTCTTTTTCATTGCGTTTCATTTCATAGAAAATGAGAGGGCAGCAAAACAAGAGGATCAACGAAAGGGGGATGGGGGAAAGGCATCCTTTAAAGGCCAGCCGTCTTAAAATTAAAGATTTTATACCCGCCTGGGTGTATAAGAATAGTAGTAATAATCGTAATAATGATAATAATGATAATAATGGGAGAAGCAAGCCAAAGACAACGTCAAAATCTCTCTCTTTCTGCCGAAAAGAGCCTGGCGGTAGCCTCCGCACAGCATCTTATTGGAAGGCAGGCTCGGTCAATGCCGGATCGCGTCGCCCCATCTGGCTTCGTCTTCAAAATGTAAGCCGAAGTCGGCCGGCCTTCACCTTCGAAAGATGGTCGCCAGCCAATGGCGGACCATCCGTTTGCCGGGGGAGAGCGGGGATTGGCGCAGGAGCTCTGCTGATCCACTCTGGAAAGCTCCTTGATGTTTCTTGGCGCGGGGATGGAGAGGCGGAGGTGGCCCCCGCTGGCGGGGGGGGGATTTATAGGCGAAGGAAAATCCTCCGCGGCAGCCTAGGGGGCACTCTGAGCTGGCGGCGGAGTCGGGGGAATCTCACACGCTTGGGAACCAGGCAAGGCGGGGGGCGGGTGGGGGGAGAGAGAGAGAGAAAGAGAGAGACAAAGAGGGAGGAGGGCAAAGCAAAGGCGCAGAATTACGTCGGGGGTGGGGGAAGCTAGAGCAGCCCTTTCTCCAGCTCCCCGCAGGATCCAGAGAAAAGACGGACGAGGAGGACAAAGAGACCGAAGCGCCCATGGGGAAAGGCGGGGAGCAAGGCGAAGAATGCGGCGAACGGGAGGCGCCGATTCCCGCGTACACCTGGGAGGAGATCCAGAAGCACAACCTGCGCACGGACAAGTGGTTGGTGATCGAGCGAAAGGTGTACAATATCACCCAGTGGGTTAAAAGGCACCCGGGGGGAATCCGCGTGATCAGTCACTACGCCGGCGAAGATGCCACGGTAAGTGCTCTTCGCAGGCGGAGGAGGAGGAGGAGGCGGCTTCCTTGCCTGGAGCAAATGGCTGCTGCTGCTCCCGCTGCTCCTGTCCCTTGCCGGGGCTCCATCTCTTTCTCTCACCTGCTGCTCTTAGAAACGCGGCCGCGGGGCAGGGAAACCGGTCGCTCCGGCTGGCGCGCTGTGGGGACACGCCGAATGGGGTTGCCCTATAACTGCGGGGGAAGCTGCTTTGCTCTGCTTTGAGGGTTTGGAGTGCCTGCCGGCCCGGAGTTTTTCCCACCCAAGAGTCCGGGAGCGCTGAGGGACAAAAGCGGGCGTTTGTAAACGGGGCCCGGGAGCAAACCGCGGCCGCCCATTTCTTGCATCTCTCCCTTTCCTGCACCGAGATGATCATCCCGGGGTGACGCGAGGTCAGCATTAGAGTCGGCTGCCTCTCCTGGGCCGGCAGTTTCTCGGGATTGGCTTGTTGCCTTGGATACCCTGGATCACCACCGTCATCTCTCCCCCCACCCAAAAAAAAAACCAAACCCCACCGCAGCTCCTTGCAATAATAGTAGCGGAGTTCTTTTCCAATAAAACGCAGCCAAATTTGGCAAAGCCAGGGCCGTCTTTTGCGATGCCGGTTGGTTTCTAAAGCCACAAAAGCGCAGCCTAACCGGGGCTTGATCCAGGATCAAACGGAATCCGTGCTTTGTAGACCAAAGAGGTGCCCGGCTGCTAAGGTGATCCAGCCAAGCCCGATTTTGTCAGGGTTCTTATGACATTCCACGAGGGGCCACCTGGCACCAAACTTACCAGGAGGAAAAGAAGAAAGGCTTAAGGCTAACAGTAGAGCCTTCTTTAAGTGGCTAAATGTGAGGTGATGAGAGCTGAAGGACAGGATCTCTGCGTATGCTGAGAAGCATTGTTTTAATTTGTCTCCTATATCCTGGAACTAAATCCTGAGAGAGGAACACCAACTGTTAGCATTCAGTAGTCCTGGCCATGAAAAGCATTGAGGGCATTGCTATTTCTTAGTTCCTAAATATATTCACACTTACTTTTTTATTTAAGAGAGCCATTCATTGTCTAGAAGCCTGAGTAGCCAGAACATGTTTGTAGCTTAGTGAGTGGACTCATGCATTTATTTTACCACCACCATCACCCCTCCTCCTCCTCCTCCTCCTCCTCCTCCATATAAAGAGAGACCATCTTATTCCCAATCAGCTCTTTTTAAGTTTTTCCTCTACTTTCTCAACAGTAGAATTAAGAAAACTGTTAGCCAGAACTATGCTGTCAGCATTGGGATTGACCCACCGTAAAAGTTTTTGTGGAATGTTGTGTTGTTCCAGAAATCCATATCTTTTCAAAACAGTTGAATCTTCAAAGACTAAAATGATGGTGAAGAGGAGGGAGGATATCAGAAGATGGAGTCAAGTTCATCAATTATTCCGCCCCTCCAAGAGTTTGCAACAGTGTCATATTAAATATATTTGGTCCAGATGATCCACCAATCTGCAACTGTAGTTATCAAATTGTTCTATACTACAATTTATACCGCATTTGTTCTGCTTGTCTATGGTATCGGTCCTGTGAAGCACACAGAGGTTGGTTCTATTGTCTCTGTTGTTTCAAGCTAAATGTTGCTTTCTAAGGCAACATTTTTAAAAACTTGAAACACTGTGAGCTAAAAGGTCTGAACCATGGAATTCTGTAGAACAAAAAGGGTTTTTTAAAAAACATACTGTCATTGCTTTCTAGGAAGGAAGCAATTTTTCATCACAAGATGTCCCTAATAGACAACCCTTTGGGGCCTGGTCAGGATAAGAGTTTTAAAAAATATTTTGCCCTTCAGAAGCCATAAGAGTTAATGTCCAATGATGCAAAGTTGTCACTAGATGAGCACAAGCTAACAGTTTAAGCTTGGGGAGGGGCATTGTGTATTGAGGGGAATCCAAGGATTCTTGGGGGTTTTGTTTTTTGAAAGTGATAAGGGTAGACATAGCTGCTGTTCTCTTGCAGAATGATATTGTATCAATTTCCTTACTTTTGCAGGTGGTGGGGGGAAGCAAAACATGAATGATAGAAAAACAGTCTTTTGGGTATGTGATGGAGTCCACAAAATGTGGACTTCTTAAGGCGAATGGTTCCCCTCATAAACTATGGGGCAGCTGCTAATCCTATTTTCCCAATGATTTAGCAATCTCAAAGGGACAGTTTTCACTGCCTTTTGTCGTCTTTTTAAAGCAAACTCCACCTTATTGATACATTAAAATCTTCCTGCTCCTCTATCACGTACAAATCCTGGAATCTAAGATTTATGCATTGTTTATATTTGTTAGAAGGAGATAAAATAGTTTTTAACCCAGTTTGATTATTTGGTTAAGAAAAGTAAAATGGGCATTGGCCTTTCTGCTTTCTATTCTCTTTTTCAGATGAAAATTTAACAACATATTTATTCATAAACACGGTCATTCATAAATAAGCCCCACTAATCCAATACTATAAGGCTTTTTTTTAAATCAACTAAGCTTGTTGAGAATTTCAGGGTAAAAATTGCTTCTAATTGGCCCAATTGGGAAGGGAAAGATTCTTCCTCGCTCTTGCAATTCTGACTCCAGTGTAACCATTTAGGAGTTGGGATGGAGGCTGTCAGAAGAGGATGACATAAAGTTTCCACCTTCTCCCTTCAGTTGGAAGATGCTTTCTGTCAAGGAACCGAATATTAATTAAAGCAGCCAATAGTTCACACACTTTTTATGCAACTTTTCATTCTATCAAACCATCTTTGAGGTTCAGAGTCCTGAAATTAAAACAGTACTTTCCTGACATCAGATTTATTCCCTTTTTCCTCCTAGATGTTGAGGGGTCTGCTAGTCATAACAAAGCAAATAGTCAAAGAAAGAAACATGAGAGTTGACTCAAGGATAATCCAGATAATAACAATGGATCTTGGTCAGATGCGTAGAAATGGGCAAGACACACAGTGAGCTTAGAGCCCATGATCGAGGTTGATTGATAGCAGCAGAAATGCAAGCTGAAGTGCACAGGGAGAGAGTGACTCATAAAATATAATGGGAAGAGTCCCTTTAGACAGGTGAGGAAGCAACAGACTTCTGCTGATAGTCAGCATTTAACAGAATCTGTATGACTGGTGCTAGCCATCTTTGAGGTCTAGTATACCCTGCAGGCACCTTTATCAGCCTTTGTGCTTGCAATATGGCTTGCCATAAACATGAAGGGTATGTAGCAGCAACAGCAGCTGCATGTCCTTAAATGGATTATGAAATACTAATAATGTTGCTTGCTTGTCACTTAAACTATGTGTGTAATCCAAGGATCCAAAGCTTCTTAAAACAGATCCTTTGTATTCCATTTCAGTGTTTTTAACAGTAGAAGAGGATTGCGGAAAAGACTGTTTTCCTTTTGGATGGGCAAGTTATTTTGCAATGTACAATCCTATATACATTTGTTGAGGAATATGTTAATTTAACTACTGCTGCTACAATTGTGTCAGAGCACCAATGCACTTCTGGGTTGAAAAGATTCTTTCACATCCCCATTAAGTTGCCCATCAAAGTGGAATCCATTTATCTATTTGCAGTCACTTGCTGATGAACTGCTGGGTAGGCCGGAGCTGGAGCATATGGCGGGAATTCTCCCCCCACCCATGGCAGCAACTGGGTCTCAAACTCAAGCTTGCCAATCATCAGCCCACCATCCTAACCTCATGAGCTACCACACTTCCTTCTTCATTTAACTTAATACGGTAGAATCATAACTCTAGGATTAAACTAGACTAGACTATTTTTTTTAAATAAATATGCAGTTTAAAAGACAGCAAAGCAAGTAGACAATGCTCCCCTATAATAGGGTTTCTTCAATTTTTCAAAAGCATGGAACACCAGTTTTTTTTTTAAGAGGAATATCTCGACTGTTACTTTCAAAATAAATAAGAGGATACTTGGTAAATTCAGCACCTGGCTTTCCTTTGCACAGCCCATTTGCCTGGGTGTGTATGTCTTACAGATGGAGATCACAGATAGAACACCTATTAGCTAGTTGGGCACCCAGCCTGAAGGGCCACACTTCAAACTGGCCATTGGATGTCACCTGCACTTGCATAGCACATCTGTAAGTTGTTCACAGAGAACTGGTATTCCTTGGAACCCAGTTTAAAAACACAATGCCAAGGAATGTGAAGTCTTGAAGTTTCTGATGGCCAGCTGCAAGATCCTGTGCTGGAACCAATTTTCTTTCACTAGTGAAATCCAATCCATGCAGGCTTGTTCCTTTCATCTTCCATCCTTCAGGGAAGTAGAAATTTGATCATTTCTTCCCTAGTGCCTGTCCATAAGAACACATTTGACCCCAGGGTATTATGGCTCTTAAGGAGACCCATGCTTATTATTAATTACCTTTTCTTTGCTTAAAAAAAATAATCAAATGTGCAGGATTGTAACAATAACTCCTGTATGCCCTGTTAGAAGCAAATTATGGTATACGCAAGTGCTAAAACGCAGCAGAAATAGAGAATGCATTGGCCGAAGTTCCTAGAATACATTGCTAACAAACTTCCCACATCCTTTAGTCCACTAGCAAAAGATCCAGGTATTAGGCCCTAATGGTAACTTTTCAAGAATATATTTTCTCTGGCTCTAAATAATGCTGTCCAGTAATCTTTTGCAAAGGCCATTCTGATCTGCTAAAGACTTGTTTCTTTTGCTGCCTTGCCTGAGAATCTTTTATATGAAGTTGCTGGGAACAATTCTCTGACTCATAGCTTCATGGCCTCCATAGCTTCTTTCTGCCAGACTTCCAGTTTCCAGACCAGCTGTCCCGACATCTATTTGAGGTTGACTGAAGAAGGGTCTTTTCTGAGTATACTAATCTAAGAAGAAGAAAAAGATTTTTTAAAAAGAAAAGCTACTAGTGAGCTAAATGGAAGTGGGGGGAGGGTGATGTCTCAAAGAATATATCTGCTTCACAGTTACTTACACTTCCACCATAATCCTCTCGCAGTT